TTTGACTTCTCTAGATACTTGTATAGGTGGAATCATACAGTATGTGTCATTTTGTGACTAGCGTGTTTCAATTAGCATAATGTCCTCATGGTTCACCTGTGTTGTAGCGTATGTCAGAATTTCCTTCCTTTTTAAGACTGAATAATATTCTGTGGTATACACTTGTCACATTTTGTTCATCCGTTCATCCGTCGTTGGACATTTAGGTTGCTACCACCTCTGGGCTGTTGTGAACAGTGTTGCTGTAAACATGGGTATACAAATATCTCCTCAAGACCCTGCTTTTAGTTCTCTCGGGTATATACCCAGAAGTGGAAATGTTGGATCATAGGGTATTTCCATTTTTAGTTTTTTGAAGAATCGCCTTACTGTTTTCCATGGTGGCTGCAACCAGTTTGACTTTTTTTTTAAGATAAGCACATAGGTAGGACTTTTAAAAACCTTTGCTTATTATGTAAGATGCATTTCTCCTGCTTTCACTCACAGCTGTGTGTGTTCTTTCCCCCTCAAGCAAGTGAAGTTGTTGTCTCAATGTCTCTGAATTTTAACATCAAATACAGAAATATAAGGCCAACCATATTTTTGTTCCTTTGTAAGAAACCTAGGGGTTCCCCTCCCCCCTGCCTTCAAAGCTGTTTTTAGAATTTTTCTTTTTCTTGAAAATAAAAAAGAAAGTTCTCCTGCTAAGTATCCATGGTGGGGCTCTGGGACGCTGTGAGCCCTTTCTGCCTGAAGAGTCCATTCTTCTTTGGCTTTTGGATTTCAACTCAAAGTGTTTCCCTCTGGTGTCTTTATTCCATGTATTCTGGGATCCTTTTTGAAAGCCTCTGTAATTCACAGGTCAGACACCCATCCACTCAGTCTTCACCGCTTTCTTTTCTTTTTCATCTATTTATCCTTGTCTTCAACTTTCTAGCAGTCTTATGTGTGACTTTTTCTGCAGCGCACATTCTGTCCTTCACTGCCTTCAGCTCACGCTCTCGTGTTGCTGTGGTACCTCTCGTTCCCATCGGTTCTTCCCGAAGGCCAGCTCCCATCTTACTCTTCATCTCAGTGTTATTCTTATGGAACTAAAAGCCCACACATTTTACACCGGAATCTTTAATTTTATTTATTCTTGGTATATTGTTATCATTTTCAAAGCTATGCATTTCCATTAGGTCTTCAGGGTAGCAGCCCCCTACTCTGCTGTGCAGGATTTTCCCGTAGACGGCATATGGCTTTTCTCTTCCCTTACCCTTGAATGACGAAGGCTCAGTTTGGTTTGGGGGTTAGCTATATGGATCGTCCTTGGAATTCTCAGTGTCTGCTGCGGCAACAGTAGAGTCCCCCTCTCCGTGGGTGGCTTCGTGTGCACATCCCAAGTTTTATTTCCAACATTTAGCAGGTGTTCGGTTTTCTAGTGCATGTTGCTAGCACCAGACAGAATCCTCTCTCAATGCCACTGATTATCAGGAGGAAATGGAGTCAAGCTGTAGTTCTTTGATCAGATTTGATCATTTTTTTAAAACTCCAGTTTCTGGTGTGCACTGCCCCAAGACTTTCCCTGCCCGAGAGGACTTTGCCTGAGAGCACCACACGTCTGAGGACACAGGGTACCTTTAGCCCCTGAATCTGCAGGGACCAGAGCAAGAGCAGTGCTGCTAGGAGCTGCCTGGGTGCACAGGATGGGGTTTATAAGTAATCCCAGACTGCCTACCAGCCAGGGGCAGATAGGGAGAGGCTGAAGGTCAAGCTACCTACCCATCTACCCCTAACCTTTGATCTTCTGGTTAGGAGGCCAAGCTGCTCTGGGCAACTAGAGCTTCTTGGTGACAGCACTTGAGTTAGTGGTGTTACCTCCCGAGTCTGGTGAGGAGGCTGTTGGTGAACTGTTATCTTCCTTCTCGGTGTTGTTGTGGGGTTTTCTTCTTCTTCGTCTGCCTGCTCAGGTATTTCTATGTGAGATGGGAAAAGGACAAATCGGGCCCTGATGGACGGTCCCCATTTTAACTCCCAAGTCGGCACCTTATAAAAGCCTGGAGCTGTGGTTCTCGGCCACGGCCACACACTGGAATCACCTGGAGGGCTTTCACAGATGACCAGTGTGCAGGCCCCAGTGTGGCCAGCTACACAAGCCTCTGTGCGGCAGAGTCCAAGCACCTGTAGCTTCAAAGCTCCTCCGGGTGCAACCAGGACCAAGAACCTTTAGCCCAGATTCGAGAGCAATGGTAGGGCTTAGGTTCTCATTCAGATTCTAGTCCTACGTGACTTTGGTCAAGTCTTTTAACTGCTTTGTGCCTCAGTTTCCCCCATTCTAAAATGAGAATGCTAATGCCTGCCTCTGTTCTGACCACATTAGGATACAGTGGGTTAAACATAGGCTAATGAGGGTGGAACTACCTAAAGATTCATGACTTCAAGGCCAGCAGTCCAGGGCCCTTTGTAAGCCTTAGGGTGGGGGGCAAAGTCATTCATTCATTCACAGGTACCTAGAACAACACAGGGCAGCCCCTGTGGGCTCCCTGCTCCAGACTCTGTACTGGGAAGGAGACCCCACTCCTTTTGGGGTCCCTGGCTAAACCCAGGGGACTCTTCCAGGGACACTGCCCTGTCTCAGACTCCAGGTGGGAGAGTTCCATGAACTGGCAAACCACAGTTGTACACAGGTAGACATTTCAGTGGGAAGTGAGTGGGGAGGCAGGAGACCCAGGGGTTGGCATGGGGCCCATGAGATCTGTGAGCTTGAATGGACTTCCGGGGGCAGTATGAACAAATGGCTTAGTGGAAAATTCAGACACAAGGTGAGTAAGAGCTTGCGCTCTGAGGTACTACTTTTCCAGTTTCAAAACACCATGAGAAAAGAAGTGGGGAAAAAGCTTGGTGTCCAGAGTAGGCAGATCCAGGTTCAAATCCCAGCTCTGCCATTACCACGTAGCCATGGCCAAGTTGGGTAACTTCTCTAACCTCAGATTCATCATCTCTAAAATGGGGCACTAATAGGACCAGCCTAGTGGGATCATTGCGATGATTACAGGAGACATTACAGTTCAGGTCCTTGGCTCAGTGTCTGGTGCACAGGTAGTGGACTGATACTGCTTTCCTTTTACACACACACACAGACTTTAAACTGGAGAAATTCTGAAACATATAAGCCATGACCTAGGCTCATCAGAAGCAGGAACTGGAGGGACATCTCTTGGAGATCTTCTCATCCAGCCCCAAATTGACCAGCCGAGGAGGCTGAGGTCCCATCTGCCCTTTTAGGTTTCTAGATAGCACTTCTATCATACACAAGGGACAGACATTAGCCAAGTCTTCCGTGAGAACCTTCCTTCTCTGGAGATTCTGAGATTTGAGCATCCAGGAGAATGCTCAGCCAAAAATCCGCAATGGGGCGGGGTACCAGATGGTGGGGATGGCATGCGACACGTGCTGCAGCCTCTTCCCTCCCGTGTCCTATTCCTCTTGGTGGCATGGGGCCCCAAATCCAGAATCTTGGTATCATATTTCAGTCTTCCTTTTCCCTCAACCCTGAAATCCATCACTTGGCGACTCTTTATCTTGACGGTGTCTCTTATACCAGTCCTGTATCAGGCAGCTAGTACTGCTCAACAGACAACCACAGAAATCCTCATGGCACCCAGTGTTGTGTTGTAGTTAGATTATATGTGTGCAGGTTGGCTGGGGGCCACCTGATCTAGTCTAGACTTGGGTAGAGCCCTGCTTCACATGTCTCTCATCTTCCCTTTGGGACCGTCAGACCACAATGACAATGGGAGGAGCATGGGAGAGTAAGCCTAACTATGTAAGGCCTCTTAAGGCCTCGGATCAGAATTGGCACCCTGTCACTTCTGCCTCATTCTGTTGGCCAAAGCAAGTCATATGGCCAAACCTGAAGACAAGAGGTAGGGGAAATATATTTCTGAATATAATCTAACCTACCACAGATTCTTATCTCTGAAATGCCAGAGAGTGTAGTTTCATTCAGCCTGCACTTTGGCGGCGGCCTCCTGCTCAGTCTCCGCATCCGGCCATGGTACCCTTGTAAGAGGCATAGATATGACTATGGCCTTTCCTGACCCACCCAAAACCTTCTCTGCCAACCATCACACAGAATGAAGCTCCTTGGCGGGGTGCAATGATCCATACTCTAGCCCCACCCTCTTTCTCAGCCCTGCCTCCTGTTTTTTTCTTCTCTATGCCACCCACACAGGACCCAGACTGCGTTCTACCTTCCTATTTCCCAAACATCCGTATTACCCTCCCCACATCATTGTTCTCTCCGCCTGAAATGCCCCACATTCCGGAGTCAGAATCCTAGCTCTTTCATGGCCTTGATTTCCCATTCAAAGTGACAACTTCTGCCTCTGAGCTCCCAAAGTCCTTTCACCTGGAACCCCACAGTGGCTTTGATACCTTCTCTCTTGTATCATGGTTACAAGTGAACATGTCATTTCCTAGTCCTTAATACAGCACCTGGCACACAACGGAGCAATACTGGTTTTAGGGAGGATGAATGAATGTCTCTAAGCCCCTTGCAGGCAGGGGCCGTAGCTGTCTCCAGCCCAGTGCTGGAGCCACAGTGGGCCTCAGTCACTAATTGCTGACATGCAGGACAATTCTCTGGTTACCCTCCCTCACGTGGAGGGTGTGCTTTGGGGATTAGCAAAGGGAGGTAGTTCAGGCATATGGAGTTGAACGGGGGAGGTAATAACTCTGGGAAAGGCGTCATGTGCCCTTCATCTTACTCCCCCACCTCAGCATTGGGGTCAGTGAGGCAAGGCTGAGGGGCCCCCCAATCTGCGAACTGAAGAAGAGGTGCTGTGGCCAAAAGTCAAGGTGGCCCTGCTACCCACACGTGAGTCCCCCACATTCACACTCCAGCCAAGGGTCACCCATCCCTCCTTAGTGAAAGCATGGGGTTTACCAGTTGTCTAGAGCCGGCCCTTAGACAACAGGCACCACAGCAAGGCAGACTGACCCCAGCGAGGCTGACTCGGTCTCTTGTGCCTCCACAGAAGGACTTCACTGTGCGGGAAGAGCTTCAGCAGCAGGATGTGGAACGCTGGCTTGGCTTCATCACCTTCCTGTGTGAGGTGTTCGGGACCATGCGCAGCAGCACAGGCGAGCCCTTCCGCGTGCTTGTCTGCCCCATCTACACCTGCCTCAGGGAGGTAAGAGACCCACACGGCCGGGCCCACTGCCCTGCCAGGGCACGCCACCCTGGAATATCTGTGAGCAAAACTCAAATGCGCCAGGAAAGCTACAGGGTTTGTACCACCTAGAATGATCGATCCTTTGGTAAACAGAAACATCACTCCCTGTGCTTCTATTTACTAAAGCCGGGTTTTAATTTATTGGGTTTATATAGAGGGAAAAGCCTTCCAAAGGAAATTATTATTAACTCAGACTTCAGTAATTCATAATCTAGAACACTACCTGCAGGGAGGAGGCCTCCAGTAAATATTAATTAAATGAATGGCTCTTTGGTCTAGATTGGTTTACCATTGAATTATTTAAAAAAAAATACTTGCTTCTAAATTTCATCTGAAGGAGAAATAAATGAGAATAACCGAAAAACTTTTGAGAAGCAAGAGGTCAATGGCGTACCTGCCCTACCAGGTATATATAGCCCACTTTAGAGGATCATCCTGGCTACTCTTGGGAGCCAGAAGCTGGGAGTTCATTATGGGGTGAGAGAGAGTTTGGTGGCTCAGAACATAGCCATGACGGCACAGGGGAGGATTGCATTCCAGTTATATTTTTGAGTTGGAATCAACAGGACCCGCTGACATGAGATATCGGAGAATGGAGGAAGTGACATGGGCTCCTGGTTCACAAGCCTGGTGGCACCATTTTCTGGGATGGGGAGGGCTCGAAGAGAAACAGAAGGGGGTGAAAACTAGGAGGTGGTTTTTTTTCTGTTTGGGTAACCTGGTGGTTGTCCCCAGAGAGCTGTCCCACTGTTGCTCAGGTAGAAGTGTCTGAAAATTGGGAAGAAGTGTCAGCCCTGGGGACTCGGAATTGAGCGTTTTGTGAGGTGTCCGTGTATACTTGGTGCCCCAGGCTGGGGACCAGATGGGATCACCGAGGGAGAGGGTGTAGATGGAGGAATGGCCAGGAGGCGGGGAGGCGGTGCAGGTGAGGACATGAGTGTGGACAAGTCTTTGGAGAAGTGTTTCTGTGAAAGGCAACAAAAAAGAGGAACCTGTCAACTACAGGGGGCGGTGTGCAGTCAGGGGACATTTTTGTGTTTTGCAAAGGAAGAAGATAATAGAGCACCCTAAGAGAAAGGAGAGGGTATTTGTAGATGGTTTTGAAGCATCCGTTTATGGGAAACAAGGTGCTCATTCCTGACTGTGTGGATGCTCACTAAAGCAGAGCATGCAAACCTCTCTCAGACACCTTGTAAACCCGTCAGCCTCTGCCACTCCACAGAGCCCAACATACTTCCTAACAAATGCACTTGAATTCAGAATTGTTTCTCGGAATTGGCAAATGGCCTCCTCCCACAGTATGTCGCTCTCAAAGGGTCATAAGCTCAGAACGCAGCACCACAAGGGGCCATAGCTTTACTTTTTGCATCCCTCGGGGGTGATGTGAAGACAGCCCTCTTGGACGATGGCCTCTCGGGGTCCTCCCATCCCTGCCTGAGTTTCCCTGTGCCCCTGACAACGCAGCTCAAGGCAGGGAGCAGCACTGTTCGAGAGCAGTGACCTGGATTGCCCCAACACGTTCCCTCTGCGTGATCTGGGCACCTCCTGGGGTTGCCGTCACCTGCTTCCCCGAGCAGGAGGCAAGGCTGCAGCTGAGCGCCAGCCCTGGCTGCCAGGACCTTCTAACACTGCCTGAGGTAGTGCGAACTTTCGGGTGTGAGATCCGGAAGGTGCCAGGAGGTCTGCACAAAAAACAAGGAGCGTCCCCTAATGCACACTTGCTTGATGCGTTCAACTTTTCAGGACAATGTCACAAACACAAGTGGCTGCCGTGCTCACGGTAAACTTGAAGAACAAACAGTTCATCTACAGCTTTCACCGTAAAAGGGGAAATCAGAGCCCCACGTTCCGAGCTCTCTGCCGGAGGCCCGCAGTGAGCTGGTTCCAGAGCACCAGCCCTGGGCTCCAATTCTGCCTCTGCCAGGTTCGAGCTGTGCCATCCAGGGGAGAGTTCACCTGCCCTGAGCCTTGGTTCCTCATCTGTAGAGAGAGACCATGCCGCTCACTCTGAAGGGGTTCAGGGAGAAAGACACGGTGTGGAGAGGGTGCTAAGCGCACCAGGACAGCTAGGTCAGAATGTAGAAGGAAATGCCCCGGGGACTTGTTCTAGGGCAGGGTGGCTCTCAGAGAGCTGGGTGTCCTCCAGTCTGACTTAGGGCCGGGCACATGCCCAATCTTAAAGGGGCACAGAGGCTGAGTGCCCTGCCCAGGGACACATAGCCCCTCACTGCTGGCCTGGAGCTTCTCTACTACCCATCTAGAGCTCTTTCCAAAGAGAACTTAGCTTCCCTAAAACAGGGCCTTAAGAAGAGATGGGGACATAAACGCGTGTCCGAGGGATCATATCAGTCCCTACGGAGAGCCTGTGCCTTTCCCAGCTCCCTGGAGACAGACACCTGAATTCTCAGAGCCTGTTGCTGCTTCCCCTACCTTATCTGTCACACACACACACTTCTACCCAGGTCTGACCGACATTCCCAAAGCAGGTTGGGCCAGCTCCAAGAAGTTTCCAGAAGCCAAAGCCACTGCTGCTGCCTCTTTCCATGCTGGAAAGGTTTAGACTTTTCCCCTGGGGCCATGCAGATGGCTGACCCAGATGCCCACCCTACCACCCTACCACCCTACCCCGGGTCCTCCCAACTCCTAGAACGGTCCCGGGCCTGCATTTTCAGCTGCCCACTAGATACATCCAGGTCATGCCTCAAGCCCCTCCAGTATGATGTGGCCAGACCTACACCCCAAGGCCTTCCTGCTCAGTCCAGATCCTAGTGTGGGCCCAGACCCACGCTTCCGGCCCCCCCCACAGCCAGGCAGCAGCCCCCGAACCCACCTGATTGCCTTTTCTTACACCTGTGGGTCACTCACTCTATCCTCTGCTTCTGCACGCCCTCCCTGGCTTCCCCTGCCCCCCTTTCCTCTAGGCCCTGAATCAAACACAGACCCGTGGGCCATCTTGGTGTGAAAATCTCATTTAGAACAAACCTAAGAGGAAGATACAAAATCCTCACAGCCTCACTGCAGTCTCGGGGTCCTCAGCTCACAGAGGCCACCTTCACTGGACCTGGGGGGCTCACTGGCCTCCACTCCCCTTTAAGATTGAGCACGTGCTTGGCCCCGAAGCCCCTTCAGACTGGAGGCTGCCTGGGGCTCTGAGAGCTGCCCTGCCCCAGGGGGAGTCCCCTGGGCATTTCCTTGCACACTCTGACCCAGTTGAATTAACCGTTCTCTCTGGTTCTCTTGGTTACTCAAACTTCAGACCTTGGACTCCATCCTTGGAGTCTCTCTCTTCCTGGCCGTAACACCTCTTCCCAGACCCAGCCCAGGCCACTTCTGGGAAGCTCCCCGCCCCCACCCCCAGCAGCCCACACGGACAGCTCCCAAGAGTGAGACACGGCACTCCACCCTGACAACTCCAGCCTTTCCACGGAGTCTTAGTATTAGAGCATTTGGTAACTTAGCCTCTATTTAGTAATTTAGTATTTTATAATGATAACGGCACACTGGAAGGCATTGCCCAAAGCATATCATGCATTCTTTTCTCTTTTAACTCGGACAACACTCTGAAGATGATCATCCCTGGCTGCCAGAGAACAGAGAGGTCGGGCAGTTTGCTCAGGGCCACCCAGCAGAGTGCATATCGGAATCCAGATCTGACTGCTGGAGTCCCTGCTCCTGGCCACTCTGCTCACGCCTCACGAAGCACCTTTCTATTTCTTCAGTCTGTGCTATGCAGCCAAAGCCAAATAGGTCATCGGAGAATTGATTCCACTTCTGCCATAAATAACATGTGCCAATCAGACCTTTCTTTGAGGGATGGAGAAGAATAATTTTCGGTGAGCCTTTTTATTGTTTAAGCACCACTGGCTCTGCCAAGAGGGTTTTCGAAGTGATTGTAATGTATTAACAGCACCTGAAAGGTGCAGGAGTCTCCTTGCCCTCCTGTTTACCGCTCGTATTTGCTTCGTGAGCTCTTTTTAATTTTTTTTTCAAGATTTTATTTTTTTTAAGTAATCGCTACACCCAATGTGGGGCTCGAACTTACGGCCCCGAGGTCAAGAGTCGTACGCTCTACCCACTGAGCCAAGCAGGCACCCCCTTTTTTTTTTTATTTTTTTAGTGTTTATAAAATTTTATTGTCATAAGAACACTTAATATGAGATCTACCCTCTTAACAGATTTTTAAGTGTACAGTACAGTAGTACGATGTCATTATAGTGAATCCCTAGAATTTATTCACCCGGCATAACTGAAATTTTGTGCCCAGTTTTTAGCAACTGACATACCCCACCCCCACCCCCAGCCTCTGGTAGCCACCTGTTCTTTGCTTCTACAAGTTTGACTCTTTGAAATACCTCATGTAAGTGGAAATAGGCAGTATTTGGCCTTCTGTGACTGGCTTATTGCACTTGGCATAATATTTTCCGGGTGCCTCCCTATTGTCCCATAGGGCAGAATTCTCTTCTTTTATCAAGTGGAATAGTACAGTTGACCTCCGAACAATATGGGTCTGAACCGTGGGGGTCAATTAGATGAGGAGTTTTTACAATACCGTACTGTAAATATATTTTCTCCACCTTATGGTTTTCTTAGTAATATTTCCTCTAGCTTACTTTATTGTAAGTGTACAGTATATAATACATATATGCAAAATATGCATTAATTGACTGTTGATGTCATTGGGAAGGCTTCTGGACGGTAAGAGACTATTAGTTACATTTTGGGGGAGTCAAAAATTACATGTGGATTTTCGACTGCAGGGGGTTTGGTGCTGCTAACCCCTGCGTTGTTCAAGGGTTACCTGTATTCCACTGTGTGAATATACCACATTTTTTAATCTGTGCATCTGTTCATGGACATCGAGGTCATTCTCGCATCTTGGCTACTGTGAGTAGAGTTGCAGTGAACATGGGAGTGCAGGAGTGGTCATATCTCTTTCAGATCTTGATTTCAGTTCTTTT